GTGGACGGGATTATGTGTCAGACAGTGGAAAACGAGAAGACTGGGATATCCTGGACCGACGCGAAGAACCTAGAAGACCTGGATTTCGCGCGTGGATGATTTATGTTTGATGTCACAAAAAATCGAAGACTTACAAGCGAAGAAGCAGCAAAGACAGAACTGCAGGTGAACATAGAAAAAACGGAGGTTATGAAAATAACCAACCAACCAACAACAACAGCAGCAACATCCAGCACCAATCACCATCAACAGAAGGGATTTGAAAGAGGTTACTTCATTCACTTATCTAAGGAGCATTGTCTCAACTACAGGAGGAACAGACGAGGATGTCAAATCGAGAATCGGGAAGGCGAGAAACACATTCTTCAACCTGAAACCAATCTGGAAATCTTCGTCACTCAGCATCAACAACAAAATTCGGATTTTCAATACAAACGTCAAGTCAGTTTTGCTATGCGGATCAGAAACTTGGCGGGTCACAAAGAATATTTCCAACAGGTTGTAGACCTTTATCAACTACTGTCTTCGTTCTATACTGAAGATTAGATGGCCGGAAAGAATCACCAACAAGAAACTATGGGAACAAACAAAACAAGAACCAGTCGCTCAAGAAATATGCAGGGAAAAGTGGAGATGGATTGGACATTCGCTGAGGAGGCCGCTGGGTGACATCGCGCGTCAGGCCCTCGAGTGGAATCCGAAAGGGAAGCGGCGAGTAGGACGTCCAAGGGTGACATGGAGGAGATCGTGTGAAGAGGAGTTGAAACAGTATGGACTAACATGGATGCAGGTGACAGAAGCAAGTGGAGGCGTGCAGTTAAAGCTCCATGTTCCACTAGGAACCCAAGGGAACAATAATAATAAAAAAATAATAATATTGCCAATACAGTGATCGATGTCCAGTCTGCAAGTTAACCAATCAGAATAACTGGCCAACGTGAGATAATGCCCACTGCTTTATTGATTATGATTACGGACCAGTGGTCATATCCTTAGTGGTATTTTGAATTATACATTATTGTGTAAAATATACTTTTCGGCTAACGTCGTTGTGTGTTCCCGCTTAAGTAGTACGGACTGCGGAAACAGGTAGTTGTCGTTTAATGTTGTTGGCGTAGTCAAGTGGTATACGTGATCAGCGCATCTGCGTTCAACTCGGCGTCTCTGTTTCAATCTCATCGTATTGCGAAACATAACAACTCGTGATCATTACCGTACTTCTTATCATGTTATCTGAAGTACAGTGACAGTAAGTCAGTTCGACTTTCAACCAAATGCTGCTGGAATCAGTTCGGGTGACAGGTTAGTATCACAAACCCCTTCACAATATGTGAATCAAAACTTGTTACATGAATAAAATGTTCCAGGCAGCTGAGTTTGATTATATCGACGATTTATTGGCAGCAGACAGCTGGAAGCTATTGGCGATATGGTGCAAATTGAGATATCTATTTTGCAAAAAGTATTAGTCTTCCAATCTGATTAGAGCTGTAGTATCTGAATTACCGATTATACGCTGACACACTACATGATAGATCTTAGTTCTCTGCACCTCTCAGAAGTACAGCCAATCAAATATGATAAAAATTGAAACTACATGCGTGCAGTAATCGAGTGGGAAACGTATTTAGCAAATCACAAACTTTCATCACTTAAACAGGTTGCCTTGATTTGTGGTTTAATATTTGAAACTCTGGACCTAAATTCACTGCGTATAGATATACGTGTTGCTTTAATGTTCTAATAATCATTAAACACCGCCTATCCAATTACAGCCGGCGCAAGTAGTGTCCATTATATGACCTTAATCCGGTATGATGACTGGGACTGACACTCTCCTGTAGATCTAAACTCCACTGATTATTGAAATAATCTTCGAAGATGTGTGAATGAGAAAAAGCTAACTAATCACTATCGTTGCGGAAAATAAATAAAACCAATCATAGTTCTTCCTATTTTGCTTATAATTTATTTCAAATTTTCACATCCACCTTAATTAAACACCAAAAACCAACTACTAGTTAGTTTGTTTCGACTATACCCCCAGAACAACATAACTTAAGACTGAAATAAGGTTTAAGGGTTTCAAGTTCCACTCAATGAACTGCCCAGATAATACTTCCGAAGCCGTTGGTTAGAAATATGCCTCTACCCGAGCCGCCATAGAAATTAGCTACACCGTTACACAGGTCTGCATGAGGAACTAAATGAAAACAATGAATGTCTTTCCACTAGCGGGAAAAATGAATAATTTTTCACTTCCCACACTACATCCTAGCAATTTACTACAGTATTAACAATGACTTAACTTTTTCCAAGCTGAGGAAACACTTTTGAATATGAACATGTTAGTCTGTTTAAGCTTCGAGAATTCCAGAATAGAAAATGTAATAGCCACAGGCCTTAATGCATCTCTGGGAACTTGATGGCAATCACCCAAGAGTGCTTAAAGCTTGTGAGGACATTCTGTGCTTCCCAATAGCAGTCCTTATTTTTGAAGGAAGGTCTATTTCTGACCGCAAACGAGATGCACTCATATCAGTGCATAAATTCAACACCTAGGTGATGGAGAGAGTGCTACATGAATCACTGCACAACCACTTACTTAAGAACCCAATTACGCCTAATTCATAGAGTTTGTAACTCGAATGGTCTTGTGATACTAATCTATCCTTTGTTTGGATTTTCGGTAACCTTAGACAGTTGGGCACAGCTCCCTCCTCATAACCCTCCAGTCAGAGGCAGATAAAATGATCTATCCAAGAATACTCACCTAAAAGCATTTGTTAAGACAGGTTACATATGAGCCGACACCTGGAAGAAAACTCACTAGTGCCTCCGCACTCAAAAAGACACACCAAATCAATTGAATATGAACACACAGGCCACTAAGAAGAACATTAAGTAAAGCTTCCGAAAGCACCATTTAGTCTCCATCCAATAATTTATAGGCCGAATGTGTGGATATAATAAGGAGTGCATACTCTATTAGATTTTTCTTCCTTTTCTACATTACTATTGTCAATATGCATGAAGGAAAGCGACTATCACAACTAAATTCTCTTTTGTTTCTTCATACACAAGGGTAAAAAACTGCTGTTTCATACATAGAGAGTCTTAGGAAACTGCACGCTGTTATTTCTGTTTAAAAGTAGTTAAAGCTGAAAAGTGATCATAGAGTTCATTCGTCGAAAAATATATTGACAACACAGATTTGCAGCCAACGTTTTCTCACTTTCTCAAGATTAGTTTACTTTCTCCATGATTTTCACCCCAAAGTGCGCTAATGAAATATTAGATAACGTAAAATCTCCGAAATTGCGTAAACCATTCTAGACATAATACAGTAAGACTTAATGTGTTTGACAGAAAATATCAAAATAGCAATAACGTAATTACTGACAGAATGTGGAAAAAACTCAAATCAAATATTTTTTTCTTACATCTACTGTTTATACACATTTTCGCCGAGAACTCAAATATTACCCGGTCCACTCCATCAACCCCTGGCTTTAAGGTCAAACTGCAATACCATACAGCAACGCTATGGACTGCGTCTAATTTCTTGTTGGTAACCGAACCTAGTTCACACACCATTTATTCTATCTGGATACCGTAGGCTGTGTGCTATATAAGTTTGATACTGGGGATTCTCCAACTTCTCTAGGTGAGTCTTCGGGACGGTAAAAACCAATGGTTGGAAACAATTGGTGACATGGCTCAAAATCGTTCTCAGTGGCGCAGATGCATCCACTCCTTGTGACTTATGATTTCCGATGAAACTGTTTTGTTCTCCGTTATTACTATTCCTTTGTCTCACACCTCTGTTTACTGTCTATGTATTATGCATTTCTCCTTTCTTCTCTTCCTTTGTGTGCTACATGGAGTGTGGCGACTTGAACTGCCGCACATATGTGCAAAGTTCTATGTCGAAAACAGACAGACAGACAGGTGAGTCTTCCGTAGCTAAAAAGCCGGTAACCTGTCATAAAGTACCAACAGGAATACCCTACACTGTGTGACGGCAGTAAAAAAGGCTATGAAAATATGGCTGCATGATCATATTTCGCAAGGAAGAATAGATCCCACCCTCTATGACTGAATAACTGACTGGTTTCAACATGGAAACCTTGCACTGATGCGAAGCAGTTTGAGCTGCCACTCGCCATGTAGCACACAAAGCAAGAGAAGAGAGTAAAGAGCGACAATAAACAGAAGTGTGAGGGAAAAGTAACAGTAATATGAAATTGCACTAAGTCATTTACAATGGAATAACAAAGCAGTGGTTATATCTGTAAAATGCCTTCGATAGTCTGGGCAAGCACAATGCTGAGCGGCGTCGTTGAATGAAGCAGGGACTTATCAGGTTAGTATATCCCCACGCTCTAATAAAAGTTCGAAACAATGTGACAATGGATAGGGGTTAAGACACTACTTGCAGACAAAAACGAAAGATAAACACCCTGTACTTCCATGTCTTTCCTCTTAATGTCAAGACACATGCGAAGCACGAAATTCTACCATGTGTACTGTTGATGTAGGGCCTATTTGGTCCATTTTCCAATGTATTTGCTCTACCAGTTTCTCAAGACAATTCTTTTAGCAGCTGATACAGAAGAACGACGAAATAAACCGGCATCACACTCTATTTTGTCCCCAGAGCACAACCACAGACCAAATGCAAATATGCGCTAAAGCTCCTAGACAATGAAACGAGAGTCAATTCACATCGCTGATGAAAACATGGGAAGCCGTTCATACATGAGATTATACACAACTCACTGGAGTGTTACACAAAACAAATACACCCTTCTGATTAGTAAGAATATAATAGTAAAATCTCACGTGTATATTATGTACATAAAATAAGTGGCCGCTGGAAATTTTTACACAACACAATTATTTGTTACAAATGTATATTGCAGAATATCCATTTTCAGTCGAGAAAGGGCATATCCTTTGTGAACTGAAAATTAGGAGGTAAGAAAGTAAAAACTTACTTGGTCTACAATAACTTGGATTGACTTTGAATAGTCTTCTATTCGCATTTTTAACTCCTGAGCAAGCTTTTCTTTTCTTGCGCACTCTGCATTCAGTGCATCTATTTCCTTCACCAAGATTAGGAGTAAGGAAATAATACCTCTTTCAGCGCATAATCCTGGCAATAGGTTGATAATGCCAGACGCTTCTTAATAAACCAGGAATCCATTTTCCGGCAAGCATCTAGAAACGATGCCATATGCTTATCATTAAGGCCATGCTGTGATTCCGATAATCCAGAATCGCTGGAGCCTGTAGAGGACAAAACCATAAATATGCTCTAAAAAATGAAATCATCCCGAAAGTCCTACATCTAGCTGGGTCTCAAGGGCTGAGAAAACCTCCTCATCCTCATCCATTGACCTTGAACCGAAAAATGCGCTGGTTGACTAATATGACTAGTTCGATATACAATACCATCCTTAAAACCTTAAGAGCTAGCATAAACCATACTGATTTTTTTTGTTTGCTTCTTGGTAATTAGTGAAAAGTTTCCTGAGCTGCGATGATCTTCTGTGTGCTTTGTTACTCCATTCACCTTCAAAAACTTTGTCAGACACTGAATGAATCAGCACAGGACCTTCCTTTTATTTTATTTTTAGTATACAGTGTGTTAAGACAGTAGCGTCGCTATAACCGGAGTCAGGCGTTTCGCTTGTTAATCCTCTGGAGTGCTTGAAAGGTGCGAAAATAGCAATATAAATAGTAGCAAACGTATCTTCAGGGTTGAATACTAGACGAAGCAGTCAGTTTTAATCCCAGAAATATGTATTTCCGTAAAGACCCAGTGGGTCTTTAACACTGCCCACTGAAGCGTCTACTGCAACTAATCTAGGTAGAAAGTCTCTGTCCACAACTACTTGTAAAATTGAATTGGTAGCTAATTTTCCAACCTTCCTGACAAATTCTGCTGTTAAAGAGAAAAGAGCAAGAAGCCCATCATAGATACCATTTCGGAGATTTCATCTCCAAAAGCTGTGCGATTCCATTCATATACATAAGCCTGCACAGCTACACTTGTTGTTTAATTCAACACATGTGTTTAACTCACTGCAGTGAGTTAAATTAAAGACAACTGAAAATACTTATGTATGTAAATACCATTGTACAGCTTTCGAGGATGAAAGATATCTTCCGTGAGCTTCCCTTTCTGTCTGATATCCTAACGCGTATTTTCCACGACATGCAAATTCTATTGTGTTTCTTGTCTATCGGCTCAGCACCCAATATCCATTTAGCGAGCTGATGTAAATCAAACTGATTTCTTCTGTCTCGCTTTCTGGATGTGAGGCAAAGTCTCCAGATCTCTGGTTAAGGTTTGCGTGGTTTGTCCCTTCACTCGAACGCCGTAGCTATGGCTGACTCCGAAGGGATTAGTGAAAAGGTAAATTATAAGTAGTTTTCAATATCCGGCGTGTTAAGGCACTGATATCGGTACTGTTGGAAACAATGAGATAGCAACAACAATAGATATAATTAGTGTAGACTGTGTGGACTGAAAAAGAAAAACTCACAAACAAGCTGACAGATAATGAAATTTAATAACTTTAAACCATGCGAATGAATAGGTAAAGTAGTCAGAAGAGCCAGACAAGAGAAGTGGGAGTGGTAAGGGACGATTTCAGATTATACCCATGGGGAGAGTGAGGTATGCGGGCTTCAGATGCCTTTTTTGCATATCCTCGCTAACTGTAGTGCTGCAGTCCGTCGCTAAGTTGGTTATATGTCAAGTTATTTTTTCTATATGCTCTTTAAAGAAATTGTGTATTATAAAGCTTTCTTGAAGTACGTAATATTGACGGCATAATCTACTTCAACTGCACTATATTTGCTAAACTTCTATAAGAAAATGTTGCTCGATACTAATATCTGCGCGATGTAATGGATTAAAAGAGACTGCAAGTTCAAAATTAAAAGGTATATTTTTTCATTTTCACAAAATCATGCTGGTATATTCGATCTTTCTAACGAAATGCTATTGTCTTATTTGGTTCAGCAGTTTTTAGCATTCATAGTTTGATTTCAATATTAATTTCTGTTTTCATATACTTAGCACAGCCTACTTTTCATTTTAAGGCGCAAGGAATAAGTACTTTGAACACAGTATGTAGCATTGTGGTGAACTTGGGTTTTAAACGGCTTTTATTTCGGGCGAAAGATACAATCGCTATTGGGTTATGATTTCATAGACATAACTTAGGATCATACGTGTAGCAAGGTTATTACCTTTGTCAGAATAAGGACAAGTTGTTCAGAGATTACAGGAGACTTTATTTCGCACTTTATTCACATAAATGGTATTACACGTCGAGTTGCACTACGAATTTACTCAAAGTGTAAGATTACGAATGTCTTGCTCCTATCTTCATTATAAGAAATTTAACAGCACACAGATTCCTTCAGAAGATTCTTTTAGGTTCAGCAAGGACGAACAAAAGTTCTTCCACTTCAGTGTCAAATGCGTGGAGTTGTGAGCTGTGCAGGCCACTACAGTAATACATTTGACACGGAGAACTCTTGAAACCAAAAGTGTTTGTGCTTCACCAAATCTTATGCACTTCCTGAATAGATTTAGTCTTTGTCATGCGTTCACCTAGCAACTGCCGGAGTTTGTAATCAAGTTAAAGTTATAATTCATAATTTCGAGAGTTTTTGTCATTTGTATTGCCAGGAGTTCACTACTCGTTCAGTTTACGCAACCAAAATATCTATTTCTTACTTTACTGAGGAAACAATTGCTACATTGTTTGAAGAAGTAGTACATCAGTTTACGAGTTTCATAAACTCTACAGAATTCGTTCCATTCACTTAATACTAATTCTGAATTATGAAGTAAAACATATTTCCAAGCATGATGTAAAACAAGGCTCAATTCTGCAAATGTTGCCCTTATGTTAGTTTAATTCCATCATACAGTCCTCATGCTTTCCCTTGTTACTTTTCATTCTGCCTCACATACATGCTGATTAGGTTTCCATTCATTCAAGTCTACTTTTGTACATTTGTGTACTATAAGGAATGTGGTAAATTGAGAAAGCGCACTTCTGTGAGAGCTCAGTCAGCCAGAATGACACATAGTCTGGGTATAACGAAATGCAAAACATTGAAAATGATCTCCTAAACGTCGACAAAAGATAATTGTATTTCTTCATCCGGTTTCTGGCTAATTAGAAAAGGAGACACCCTTCAATATTCTCTTTTTTCTGGGACTCGTTTCTTACTCTGTTCGTCTATCTTGTACTTTATCACTTAGTGCTAAGCTGTCAGTCAGCATTCGCCGTTGCAAGCACCTGATGTCACATCTCACTGCAGCGTTAATCTGTTTATACCCTTATTAACTCCGTATCACAAGCGTTGCATTCATTTTCCAAACTTCTTGGATTGTCTAGAGAGAGGGCAATGAAGAACTAGTAGCGAATTATAAGTCATTAACACGGACACAAGAAATGGTAGGAGCCTAAATGAATGAGATGAGTAGTTGACTTTTTAATAATAGCAGCAATCCGCTTTATTACAAAATGGTACTTAACTGTTTACGCTTTATGGCGTGTCTTCAAATTACTGTTTCTGCCTTCGTAGAGATGCCGTCAGACATAGTGTCTGGAAGAAGCCTTTCAATACACCTAATTCCCGGCAAAGTTGTTCGTGCAAAGCCTCGAAATTATACTCATTGGATTATGCAACAGTTAGTGTTTACATTATTGATTCAGTGTCACGCGAGGCGTGACACGTTATTGCGAAGTGTGCTTGTAACAACATTCCCTGCATAATAAGTACAATGCTAGGGATAAAAATTCGTCACGATCTCTTCAACGCGTTGATAGCTGCATATGTTGGCCTTGGCCTTCTAGTTTTCGAAAATACTTACAGCCGGTACTGATACTCCCGCCTACTACGCAGTTCTACTCGCCATCTATGAAATACTTTTTGCTATATCAAATGACTGTTTAGCTAGTATCATATGAAATAGTGAAATAGAGGGCGCATGCAGTTTGGAAGTTAAAGTGTACTTGCAGTTATACACGCACATCTTCCGTTTTCAAACAAGAAAACGCTTAAAAAAATTTAGGGTTGAGTGCAGTGCATTAATAGTGTATTTACTGCCATACGTATCTTGTATAACTGAGAAGCTTCTGTTTATTTGAAGTTGAAGTTGCGGAATCTCCCTGCAAGGTCTTTTCACTGAACTTTCACATAGCACACTATCTGGTAGTTTCGAGTCCAGACGAAATCATCAGCGTCACAGTTGAAGTACTTTGTTAACTAAAATCGGTAATGGAGATTTTATTAAAATTTTGATTTACCTGTAAATTGACGAATAGGAGTGATAAACTGACAAGACAGCATATGCCGGCACAGTATTCTTGATGCTCTGATAATCTCGCAGCTGCTAATTTGTGAAGTCTACTTGGCGCATATAATTGTTGCCAGTGATGATAGCCATATCATCAGTGCACGACTCAGCGTTCATTCGACGTCTGTGGCTATACTCCTTGACAGTTATTTTAACGACATAAGGAGTGAAGCCTCGCAATATCGGTATAACTGGTTCTGGTGGGTGGTATAAGTGAACCCGACAACTTTTGGTGACGGCTTCAACACTTCGACGTTCCTCTGCTTCTACACACAACTTATGGGTTTTGTAAACGCATATGGGCAACAGGTCTCCTCTATAATATACCTTTCCTGCGAACCAAGGTGAAAAAGTACAGCAACGGTATGAATTCCCCATAAACCAAATTTATGTGATTTAGATGATAGTTATCCCTGCCTGTACAATTGGTGTGTTCTTAAATTGATAGAAAATAAATATATTGTTATATGCCACCGCCTACATCTTTTTCTTAGGAACCCAGTAGTGTCTAACATAATTGCATATCCCGTGACGCTAAGGAAGCGATGAAACCTACGAGGCTAGCAATCAATGCATGTACCTTTCAGTTGTCGCAGCCCTAACATGACGATATAAGAACCTACGTACTTAAATGGTTTAGAGTCTAAATTTGTCATGCCCAACTCCGCTTCAACTTTCCTTCTTGCTGAGACCCCGACATACATGCAACGCACAGATGACGATTTTCCCCTAAATATGACTATTGCACATGGCGGGTATCTCACAGTTGGCCGAATCCACTATGAAAGTTTCTGTAATGGATATATCCTGTATTATTCTTTTGAAATCTTCAAAAATCCAAACTAATTGCCACTACCTGTCTCTTCTCATCCATGCCGAAATACAGGTCTCCCATAACGCATATTGCTTGTTACCACACCTGAAACAGAATATCTGAATAAAACTAGTCGACTATTCCACGTGTAACCCACCCGTCATCATTCGTATAACACCTTGAATCAGTACGCATCATTTCCCTATACTTAATATGC